TTTTTTATGAATTTACTGGGCTTTTCTGCTGATTTGTATGAAAGGATTTTTAATTCCTACTATCGTCGTTGCTATGTGATGAACTATTCATTTAGAAATATTTTTTTTCTTTCGTGGGAAAGTTTCTAAGACTTTTTACCTTCATTATCTTCAGGCTTGTCATCCTCCTCTACCTCAGGAGCTGGTTCATCTTTTTCTTGATCTGTAAAACAATATAAAGAAGACAGAACTATGAATACATAGAAGGAAAGTAAACTAGTCCAAATTGTGTGTTCGACTTRCCTTCCTCCTGTTGTGGCTGTTCGACCTCCTTAGCTGGTTCCTCTGGCTTAGCGTCTTCCACGACAATCTTATTTAGGGGCAAGCCATGGGTGAGCATTACCATGCACATAAGCAAAGCAATCGTGAACTTAAACATTTTGATTGTGAATCAGATCGAAGACAATTTCCAAAACAGTCGAATCGAAAACTTGATATAACCTTGAGAATGATCACACCTATGTTCGCAGCTCGACTAAGATCTTCTGTATGACGTGTTGAATTCCCAAAGCAGCCTATAACTGCGAAGAATCGATTTGAATAACAATACAAGCACACAAGCGAAACAGTCCTTTTAAAATCACACACGTAATTTCCCATAAATATTATTTATTGACCTGTCACTTAAACAATAGAGTGGGGGCTTAGGTGGTCCTTAACAGCTCCGGGCATAAGTTCCCGTTTGAAATTAAAAGAGAGATTTTGAGCATTTATTAACACGGTCTAGTACGTAACTAATATCAACGAAAATACAACTGAAWTACGAAAATACAACTAGAATCTGCAATAAGACTACATTTTTGGGAATATTTTGAATACATAGCGAATTCTTAAGTCAATAGAATTAAAAGGGTTAGGAAAATGTTTAAACAAATATATCGAAAACAAGAATATTCTTGTGTAGATGAGAGTTATTTGCATTTTCATAATATTTTCAATTAGAAGAGGCTATAGGAGGCTTGACTAATTATTAATTATTAAATTTCTCTTAGTTACAGCACAACTATGCAGAGCAGTTTTCTACAAAAGGATTCGAAAAGATTCGAATGTGCATGAATTTCAAGGTTCTGTATTTGACTGAAGCAGAGTTAATTGCAATACCGACTATACCATATTATCATAGTTTGAATTAAACCAATTCGTGTATATTGAYATGTAGGTCTATGGTCAAACGAAAAGAAGTATTCAAGTCTTCTAGATTTGATCATCGATCTGGCCTTTCATTTTTTAGTTGGAAAATAAATAAATAAGTCAAATAAACTATATTCATTTCAAACCACAACAACCAAAATTGCTATACAATTTTTTTTTTTTTGTTTTGATTCTTTTAAAAAGGTCGTACAATGAACGAGACTTGCTTGATAATCAACAAAAAGTTTGAATAAAATCAAACCAAAAAAATTCAACTTCTGAAATCGTTTTTCTAAAAAAACAAATGTTGAGACCATATCTTRTGTGTTCCTAGGGTAGAGACTAAACAATTTATATATAATGAATTACTTAGCAGAACTTATGAGTATCAGTGGGGTTTTGAGTGTCAATGTCCGGCACGATAAGTCCGCGGGCAACGTTCACTCTAAAATAAATAACTGCAATACACTTATAATGAGTCATTAACTGACTGATGATGGACGATGGATATCGTCCGAAATATCTTACTCAAAAATCTTCTAGTCATTCTTTTCGTATATAAACTTTTGGCCCAAAGAAACATATTCACATAAAATGAATAAACACGCGAATCCTACGATGTAAGAAATATAAGATAAAATAACACTAAACACATTATATATCCATCCCTCACTAAGGCTTTATGACGGACGGATAAATAATGTGTTCATTGACATAATACTGAGCTATTCATCATCATGGATTGAGGATATTAAAGCAAAGCAAAGTTGCTTTTTTCAATTCAGCTCCTTGAGCGTAGGGAAAAGAGAGGGGTAGAAGGGATAAAGAACAAACTGTCCGGCAGATGTTAATATTGAGCATTAATTTGCACAACGTTGCTGAGATGCTTATAAGATATACAGATGCACCTAAAAGAAACCACATTGATCTTTAAGGTGGCTTTATAGTAGTTTCGGGCTTTAGAGTCAATAGAATTAGGACCCTTTTTGCCATTAGAAAACTAAAATCTCAAGTTTTCCGTGGTCAATCTTTTCTAGATTGTTTAATATGAAAGTTTGTTTTGTTACCTATTATATACGACAGCGTTTTATTAAAATCGTGACTACAGAAACCAAAATGTGAAAGAAATGTCGGTTTTTTTATGATAAAAAGTAGTTCTGTAGTCCAAATATTTTTTATATTGCGTCAGTTGCCTTATCATTCTACGAAGACAATACTATTGAAATTTAAAGATATTTGGCCACGTAGTTTTCGAGTTTTTTAAACGTAACGCATGCCACCGTTTTTTCGTGACGTCATCAAAATAAAAATTCTTCAAGTTCTGGTACTGCGCATGCTCGTGCACAACCAAGCGGGCGCGCRAACRAAAACTATATGGAGCCACCTTAATTCAATATTTGCTGACTATATTGTCACGAAACCTGTACAAGTTTTGTGAAATTTTCATTTCTACTTCTAAACATTCTGTAAATTCTAACTCGGGTTTTTTATTCGATGAAGGCGGTGGGGCAAGGGGTAAAGGGGGGCTCAGTAAAAATTTGAAACCGGATTTTTTTTACGAAAGCTGTTTCCTCTTTGACTTAATAGCCCACCTCCGTGATATGCTTCGATTGTCACGCACAAAGGTTTCAGTATGGGGCTACGTGCTATGATTAAATTTATTCTTACCTCCTGTTACGAATGACTGAGCGTTTAGCCTCGTACTGAAACCTTTGTGCGTGACAAGCGAAACATATCTCGGAAGTGGGCTATTCAATTGGTTCGAGGGAGCACATTAAAATTTKTTTGTGTAARGAAAGTTATTGYTCTTGGTTRATCTATCKAGCGCACGCAATCCATCATGTGACAGGCGTTCCTCGTAGTGTTTTGGTTTCGRMCGATCCGAATGGCTTACGATCGTGTAAGGAATGGAATGACGAGTCAAGAAACGCCTGTCATATCTTAGATTACGTGCGATAAATTCGAAGATAAACCAACACAATCAAAATTTTAACGTACATTCCCTTAGTATCCGCAGTTATTAAACTCATTTATTCACGAATAAAAAAATTTCTTTTTCGCTTTCCTCGGTCCACCAACCTTCTATTCCCCTTATATTTCTGTTTCTTGAATTATGGATTGATTGAAGGTCTGAGCCGCGTCGATGTCAGTCTAGGATTTACGAATAAACACTTCCTCACTTCATCTCATCATAAATTCAAATGTATCAAGTCTAGTAGGTATGAAGTGCCGGTTCCGTGCACCAGGTGGATCGTGGATCAGGGTGGATCGTGGATCAGGGTGGATCGTGGATCAGGGTGGATCGTGGATCAGGGTGGATCGTGGATCAACCCCCCCCGCCGTGTTTCTAGCCATGTCTATTCTTAGTTTGCGGGTTGTATTATAGTTCTCGCGGCACCTGCTTGGATATTGTCCTTTTTATTGTTGAATAAAACAACAACATCTTTTCCAAACAATCGATGCTATAGCGCAGGCGGTAAATCGCGAAAATTCAGTCTAAAGATAATAAGTTCAAATCCTAATGTTAGGTAATTATCCAAGCTCAAGACTTAGGTGAATATTACATAGTTTAGAATAAGATAAATTAGATAAGCGCATACCGTCCTACGCTTCAAGCAGTCCCTTTTGCGAAATAATTAGTTTTATATCTCCGTACTTGGATAAAGAAAACGCAAAGATTGTTTTTTGAACTTTTTATTATCATAACTAAACGAATCTTATGTACCATGATGTTCAATACCTGCGGCTTCGAACAAAAGAAATGGTTTCTGTATAATTAAGAAAACAACTCCTCCGATTTTTAGAATCTTGATAACATAGACTCTTGCACTGTTGGCGGTTAAATAAAGTTATCAGCATTCACGTCACTGCAGTCTGTTACTCCACATTGACTATGCCTCGAGGGGCTATGACATCGCGAGCGCACGCGATGAGCTACACTCAGGCTGAACCAGAACCAACAAACTAAGTTACACTCCATGCATGCAGTTAGAACTTTCTTTTGAATAATACTTAAATTATATACTTGCTCTAACGTTATGTACTTCCTCTTCATTAAGACTCTGAAAAAATGTACCTAAAGTTTATCAGTGTAAAGCTTTAAAACAAGCTAACTGCTTCGAATTCGTATCTGGTGAAAAAATRTTTTTAGTAAAACCATACTTAAGAGAGCATACATGATAGAGGGGAACTTCTTTATATCGCGCGTGGCCTGTAAACGAAAAGAGCGTGCGCGCTAGTTAACGTACGGAGCCCAACCAGCAATAGGCCCTTTGCCGCTAAGCAATCACATGCTGCCTTAATTCACTGAGAGCAAATGAATGAACATTTTGATTCCCATGGGTGAAATTTACTGGAGAGCAAACAAGCTTCCTACAACCTGTTTTGAGAGATCGTAATAAAACTGCATTTCGTAACACACTGGATACACATGTTTTCATTCAGTTCTTTACAAGTAGCTAAAAAGAATCACCAATTCAATATAAAAACATAAATTTTGCCCTCCAGTACAGACACGTGACCGTTAACTGCAAAAGGCCTATTTACATGGCGCGCGCGATATTAAGAAGTCTCCCTCCCTCTTATCATGCCCTCTTGGTAAAACTCAGAAGTTCTCGTCCCAAAATTATTTAATATTTCTCTGAAATATAAATATATATATCTAAATCAAATAACTATTAAGTCTTCTTCTTTATAGTCAAATTCACGATGACTCATGGAAAAGAGTCTTCGAGTCTTGCGACAACAAACCGCACACAGAATCAAAGCTATAGAGCAGCAAGGCACTATGGATACAAGTGCTGGATAGGGGCGATTTGAATCAATACGGCTCAACAGACCAATCGCCAACCCAAAGCTGGAAACTGTCGACAGCAAACACTTGGAGGATTTGAAAAACGAGAAAGAAAAATTTGAAATGATAGCACCAATTACTATATCACCTGTGCCAAGAAAYACATGTGTTGTGCTTTCTCCAAAACGAACTGTGAATACTGCTGGAAGTTGCCAAGCGTCRTTCACCTCAAACAGCTTACATAAAAGGCTGCCACACTCGCCAACACTAAACAGTTGAGGCACGTCATTTATTTTGGCAAGCAGGCACACGTCGTAAACAAAGGCAGTCCATAAAAATATCTGAAGAAATGCGAAATTTCTAAATTGTACATGACTGGCGAGCAGCGCAAACATTGCTATAATAGCATTATTTATAAGCCATCTGTAAGACGTCCCAACTGATGAGATCCAAATTACAGCAAAGATAATGCCGGTCAAGTAGCCCAGTTTCCCAGTTATCCATTGTGTAAACGCGAAAATCAGGAAGGTTATCACTGACAAATGTTGTAAAGCAACCATAATATTGGGATAGAATTGAAGAAACAGTACTGTAAATGCCATAGTAGCAAAATAAGAGACGTTTAAAAGCAAATACCATAGTAGACTTGGCTTGGAAATTTCCAGTTCTTTCATCTCCCTATTGGGAGAAGTCCTTGAAGTCACTAACTCTTTAGCCGTCATTATTGCCTCTACGTTTGATYCTGATGTTGAGGAGTCTCGTCCGCGTCGATTCCTCTCTCCGTAAAAAGCACTAACAAGAGTTAAAGCACACACTGAAGCATCCATAATCCAAAAATTATAAAGACTCATCTTTATCTCTTTCAGTCCAATAACACGAGTTTCTATACTAGCTATCCTTTCAGTTTCCTATAGTGACTTCWAACTTTTTCGAGCTCATGTTTTATAATGGTGACGTCGCATCGCCAAGGCCAAGTCTACGTATAACGTATATTATTAATAATTAAAGAATAAGCACAATAGAAGACACAAGAATTGTATTTTCAACTTGCTTCACTGTAAGAGGTTTTGCACATTTTCCTTTAAAAATTTCTAAAGAAAAAAAAGAATAAGTTACCATTTCAAAGTTTTTCTATTGAATTTTCGATGACACTTTAGGAAAAATTAGTTTCTAGGAAAATGATGAATATTCATTGTTGTCCCTTCAGGTATTTTACTTACCAGGGAATCAAACAATGAAATGTCTTGACCTGCTGGGCTATGTATTCTTTATGGTCGACCTGCATAACTTGTTTGTCAGTCGAATGATAATAATTATATATTATATATRAAAAACACTCCAAGTTAGAGTCGTGTCCAGTCAACCTGGGCATTAGAATTTTTGCTATTTAACAAAATAATAATCTGCTATACGATTTTTTTWWAAWTTWTTTATTTATTTTTGGTTTAATCAAATACTAATCTGCTGTAATATTAGTTTTGGAATCGTATAGCAGTAAAGGCCCTATTTGGTAAATATTATCCATAATCAAATACGGACTAGATAAACTTTTCAACTATTAGACGATAACCTTTTTGTCTCCTGTTTTTTTGCATCAAATCTCACTAATAATTCGAATGCATACCTTTACCCTGTGAAGAAAACAAAAAGGTTCGAAACTTTTAACAAACTTTTACTGTTGCCTATTTATATTTACAAAAATTCTACAAGTTAGAGCAAAGCCGTACTGTGAGGTCTATACGGCCTACTACCCTGCGTGCGTGCATTCGATCGGTCTTTTCTCTATCGGGCTACGGTCTAGAGGTCTTCTCGAACTTACCAATTTGTCATAGCCATTCTTACAAACCTTTTCACGGATATATGGTACGCWCTCTATATAGTTCAGTAAACCCTAGACCTACRAAACTTTGCTCTAATTTTTAGAATTTTGTTAGCTAACTTTTTTTTATGTATATATGGCATGCGCTCTAGTAGTGCCCAAGTTTATTGAAATGACTCATTCTTTTGGCTCAAATAAGTGCCATTATGTTTCATTTAAGGCTTATATATAATTCTCTATTTTTTTGGACATAATGCTGGAGTATCCAATTAATCCTCCCTCGTCAATCACCAGGCCGGACAATCACAAAACAATGAACCGTGGATGACAGGAATTTCTACGCCTTTATTATATATTCACAACACTTCAACTCGGCTATAAGAGTTGCTTAAGGCCCTGCCGGAAAACGGTCCCAACATTTGACCCAACATAACTGAACTGACAACATTTGTTTGGTGAAGTGGGGAACGTTCGAAGGAAGGCTAAATTCACAATAAAGGCTAAAGTCTTTAATTTGTTTATGTTGTGAGCTAGTAAGTTTAAGAGTTGTTTCGTTTTTACTTTCAAAAAACGTACCACTTGAGTGGCTTGAAAATCAGGTAACGGTTCTCAGCATTGGGTCTGCACTTCCCTGCTAGCATAAAAAGATCCCAAAGAGGATGACTCTGCTCGTCAAGGAATGCAAATCAAACTGYTTCATTGAACTGAAGTACTGTCAGAGAGCTTAATTGTAGAAAATTGATAAATGACAGCTGTTTAACCAAGRTACGATAGCCATTAATCACGGGACCTAACAGGTTTACAAACGGGTACCGAAATGGCACCAGCACAGAGTAGCATTAGAAATGAAAGGAACGAATGAAAAACAAACAAACGAACGAAAAAAAGATGAATAAATAAAAGAATGAATGAAAACGAACCAAAGAAGGCAAGAGACCGGACATTGCTTATCGCCTGGGAATGGGGTCTGAGTATTTAGCGGAGGAGAGGGAGGAGCGAGAAGTTCACATGAACTGATGAATATCTTATTTAGGATTAGATTAGATTTTGTTAGGATTGTGCAGGATTGGCGATTGTGTATGTATTCTGGCAGAGAAATTTCAAGCAATTCTCCTCTACTTACTAGTAAYAGTTTTTCAATTAAGTGTTTGTCTTTCCTTGGCATAGAATACAAACGACTCTCTAGGCTTCACGTCACCATAGCAACAGATGTTTACCCAAGCCGAGTAGTCCTGGATCCTTATCCCAAAACAACATGGCGGTCAACCGGTGTTGTTGGGACTTGAACACTTCTCGAACTTTAAACATGAAAAGCAACTAGTTTTCTTGTTTAGAAAACAAACTTGTTTAGTCCAAAAAGTATGAGGTTTCCAATTTTCCCATAACGAGCTTATTTTTATGATTTAACACAATAGAATGTAAGAAAAAAGCAGTTTTTTATCGACATCTTGGTGACAAAATTTATGCCCAGAACAGAAGGAGTCTTAGTTTTAAAAACCCTTTAGTTTTAAAAAGATGGATAAAAAGAGAAGTCGAAAATCCATAAGGATTAAGATAATAAGCATGGGCAACGCTGAAACTGGAAAGGTAAGTGAATAATGGATGATAACTATCAAAAAACCATGCAACTTCGAAATTATATTTGAAGCGCTCTAAACTTTATATTTAAATTTATTGAAATTGTGGAAAGAAGTAAGTTAACAGTTTTAAGCTTATATCATCATATAGTACGGGAAATTTTATTCTGAACTTCATTATGGCATGTTTGTACAATGCAGTCAATGCCATGTACATCAGTAAACCAGAAGCCTCAGGCTTTTGTATGTATTTTCAATGTTCTAAATTTTCTAATTCAAATATAACTTCCCAATCCTGAGCCGACATAGGGGAAGGAGGGGTGGTAAAAATTTTCCCCACCCATTGCAACTACACAAGGGCCTGTCAATGGTGTAATATAATTTGTACAGCAGAGCTGGCATCACAGTACCAAAATGACAATACCAGCTTTACAATCTATAGAACAAGTCATTATACTAGATAACAAAAGAGCAGCATAAATTATGTTACACTGGAGATAACCTTGTTGATCAGAGTATCATACAACAACCATACACCTTATCGTTTTATGAGGGATATAATAGATAAAGATTTTCGATCAGGTCCTTGATTCCTGATCAAAATGAAGTTTGAAAGTTTTCATTTGTGGAGGAAAGAGAAATGGAAGACCTTGAGAAAAACCCTGGAAGCACAGAAGATAACCAACAAACAATTCCACTCACACGAGACACTGAACCCTGGCAGGAATCAAACTAGGGCAGCATAGGTCAGAAGTGACCTGTTAGCAGCACACACCACCGGTGCTTCCTTAACAGTTGTGATCACGCATTAATCATTATTTTTCTTCTAATCAATTTTAGAGTTGTTTAATCAAGCGATATTGTGAAAAGAGATTTGTGAGCAAATACATGACTACGATAGGAATAGACTATGGAGTTACTAAGTAAGCATGTTCACTTGACCAACTTTCATGAATTTTATGATAATTTTTTTAGACGTTTATGTGAAATATATAGAGACGTTTGTGAAATATTTACAGAGATTATCACATGTTAGAAGCTTGATTTATTTGGAAGTTTCCATATATTTCAGGTTTTTTTTCCATTTATCAACAATTAATGTTAAAAGCTTGAAATGAAATGAAATATTCATTTGTAGGGTGGTTGTTAATGATAAGGACATCAAAGTTAATATATTTGACATGGCTGGTCACCCAGTTTTCTATGAGGTGAGTTATGCATGTAATTACATGCCTGCATGACTAACTTTGCAATAATTTAGTGGATTTTCCACAATCCTAATAACATATATTCAATTTTAAGAGTAAATGGTTTGAACCCAGGTGTTGAAGTTTGGCGTGAAATGTGAATATCCAGGTGAGTGTAGTTTCGTGAAAGACTGTTGTAACAGTTGGTCTTAAGATGACTTCTGCTCAGGTTGTTAAAACATCAGTCACCACCAACAACAGTCTTTCTCAAGACTACACTCACCCAAATGATCACATTTCACACTAAATATTCAACTACATATTTATAGCAGTTTTCATTCTTGGGTAAACTCGTACATGTAACTGTAAGCTGCATACTAAAATTTGTTTTGTTGTTGCTGTCAATCGAAAATAATCATTCAGCACCTTGTACATTTTGAGTGGCAGGAATTAAAACCCAAATTCCAATGGGTAGATGACAACATTTGAGTTAGGTTGTAAAATGAAAAATTCAGTAATTTCATTCTCATATATTTTATACAATAATTATGAGCTTAAACTTATTAGTAGGGGTCCCCATATATTCATTATTTAAATGATATCTTGTTATTGCAGGTGCGCAATGAATTTTACAAAGATACCCAGGGTGCTTTGCTGGTCTATGATGTGACAAATAGAGAAAGTTTTGAGTCACTTGAGATATGGTTGGATGAAATAAAGAAAGAGATTGGTGACCCTAGTGAAGTGAATAGAATTGTCTTYGTTGTTTGTGCTAACAAGGTATGAAAAATCTTTAACGCACATATACACTTATTTCAATAAAGTTAGTCACCTGAAAAGCTACAAACTGAGACCGGCAAGGATTATATTTTACATGTTTCAACCGCTTGATAATTAACTGTTGATGGACTTGAGATCTTCTACCAGTTATGAGTTAACCTCCTCTGAGCATCCTCAACTGCTGCAGTTTGTGTCAAAAGCTTACTTGTTGAATATGAAATATTCAACAATGATTCTCAGCGATCACAGCTTTCTTGGTGACTGACGTTTTTGGTAACTAACTTTATTGAAATAAGTATATATATTCAAATTTTTTCAAAGAAACTGCACTCAAGTTTCAAGTTCTCAGTGTTAGTCTCAACTTTGCATCTAGAATATTCTTATGTTCCAGTGAGGGTTTGTGGAATTTCAAAGTGTTTGTAATGTAGTTGTTGTGCATTCTTTACACCTTTACTGTCTGCATTTGTAAAATATTCTGAATAATGCTGAAATGAGGCTAACAATGAGTAAATGAGTCTGTGACCAAGAAACATAGTCAGTTGTAATAGGCCCTTTGCAGCTCAGTAATCATGTGCTGATGAATTCACTGAGAGCAAATGAATGAACATCTCTATTCCCATGGGTGAAATATACTGGTGAGCAAACAAACTTTCTACAACCTGTTTTGAGAGATTGTAATAAAACTACATTTCGTAACACACTGGTTACACATCGTTTCATTTAGTTCTTTTCTCTAAAAAGAATCACCAATTTAAAATGAATCAAAAGTTGTGCTCACCAGTACAGATATGTGACCGTTAACTGCAAAGGGCCTATTGGACAGATAGCCTGTCATGGGAAAATGATAGAGTTATTTTCTTAAATTTGATTGGTTGACCTCGGCTGAACGCATGCATGCTTTCCCTTCTACCAATTTAAAATCTCGTATTCTTACCCCTTCACTCTGATTCCTGGCTCAAATTGCTAATTGTAATCCTTAGGTTGACAGTAGAAATAGAGAAGTAGACGAGGCTGAAGGGCGCCTATGGGCAGATGCTCATGGATTCTTTTATTTTGAGACATCAGCACAAACAGGAGAGGGGACATCAGAAATGTTCCAGGTACTTATATTTAAACTAATTACGACTTTGAGACGACAATACCACGAAATATTGACGGCTAGTTGGGAGAAAATATATTCGGTATTGTGCGGAGTTTTGTATCGCGATTCTAAAGAATTTAACACACAAAAAAGGAAAAAAAATTGACCGATTTTCGTTGATTAAAAGCGAAATTCTCCTTACGAGCGCGCGCTATGGCGCAAGCAACAAGCGTAAAAATTTGACGCGCGCGCGCTCAAACTTTCCTTTTCGTCGCGCGTTAGCCAATCAGAAACCTTAATTTTGGAACGACTATACCACAAAGTATTGTCGTCTCAAAAATATAAGAAACTATTTAGTGGATCGCGATACTAGAGTGCAAACAGTATAACCGTGAAACTTTAGTAATATTAAATAGCACAATTTCATGCGAATTCCATTGTTTTCTATTGTTTAATTAGCACTATTTTGTACTATTAATGTTTCACGGATTAATTGTTTGAACTCTACCAATATATTTGATCCATTTGATCACAGCTAAATATTCAAATGTTTTCAATCTGATATAAAATTTTGTTTGTTTTCTGTTCAGACGTTATTTTCTGGAGTAGTCAAAGCACTAGAGAATGGTGGTAGACCAGTGAAGCTCGATATGACCACAAACCTGGGATATACCAAAGAGCAGGCGGAGGCAATACAAAGGCTTAGGAATGCTAAAGGAGATTATGAACGCCTTGGCATCCCAGTCGGAGCATCAAGGCAAGTCACTACTTTATGGAATCGCTCGGTTTCAATCAGCAAATCAAAATCTTTGAATCTCATTTTCTGTTCCAAATGTTGGTCAAAGACTGACCACCATGTGCTTTCAGCCAGAAAGAATTCTATTGAAAACTTGTGATTCAAAGATCCCGCACGAAACAGGAAATGACGTCATAGGGAACCCAGCAATAGAGCGTTTTCACTTCACGTCAAAGCCGATATATTTGTGTACCTTTGACACTAACTTTGTCGTTAGTTTGTTTCGTCAGGTACACCATAGTTACAACAATATGGCTGCCATTTCTATTGTTACTGAACTTTCTAGGGACTGAGTTAAAACGCTCTTTAGCTCTTTATCATGCGCCATGTTTATAAATAATACGGAATAAATACGTTTGTTTAACCTCTTGCAAACTCATCTGGAGGCGTTTTAAAGTGAGACTACACGGGAAAAAATCTATTCAATCCAACATGGCTGCCGAGTGAGAGTGGTCATGCTGGCGATGATCGTTAAAAATGGATGGAATGGCTAAATGAATGAAGTAATGCATGATTGAAATAATGAAATAACGGATGAGTGAGTGGCTGGTTTAGGTTAGTGAGGATTGGAGGAAGGATGAATGGGCAGATAGGTTCGTGAAGGGAGTAAGTAATTTAATAAATGAGAGAAATAAGTGAATGAGGGAGGGAGGGAGGAAGGAAGGAAAAAAGGATGGGGGGGGGGGGGAGTGAAAAAAATCTTCATTCCTCGTAAAATAAAATATAGTCTCCTAACTTTTGATTCTCTGACCAATGTAACTAAAACGTGGACTGTTTTCCCCTGTTATTCCAACAGAGATGAAATAAATCGCGCGTACAAGAAACTAGCGGTTCTTCTTCACCCAGATAAAAGTGTTGCTCCTGGAACAGAGGAAGCCTTCAAAGAGCTAGTGGCGGCGAGAGCTTCTTTACTACAGAAACACAGATACAGTAGCTAGGTATCTATCCATACACTATAGATTCTTTGCACTATAACACCGCGATGGCAGCCATGACAGGAGGCAGGGACAATTAAATCTGGTCTAATCTGATTTACGTGGGAAAAAATTTAGTTTCGTACGGGAAAAACACTATGGTTGTACTTCATGTCACAACTGCCATCACGTGATGATGCAAATACTCAACTACATATATAGCTTAAATCCAAATCATTTATTCCTTCATACATATATTTATATTAATATCATAACTAACTTATATGGAACGTCATTCCCGCTATTGACCAAACGATAATTTGGCCACCATGTCTTTCGTCACTTCCGGCGTTCCCTTGGAGGAACGATATTTTAGCATTTCAAAGATCCGACATTTTCTAAATTCCGAGTCGTCGTATTATCAAAACATTAGGGCAACCCTCAACTTGAAACAAGTATTTCAGGTTTTTTTCAGGGAAGGGAAGGGGAATTTTAAGCACGACCAGAAAGGTCACGTGACCGGGTATCGTATTTCGGCTTATCACGTGGGTGCGCGTGAGAGGGACCATTTTGTAAATTGCGGTCAACATAAAGTGCTTTTTATCTTCAAATCATTCTCCTTCGGATCGGCTTTTTCGATATAGCTGATATCTTGAAGGAGAAATTGTAACTTATATATATTTTATATTATAAAATATTATTTTATAGTATATTTCATACTAGTTTTATTGCGTATTTTATGTGCAAGAGTATTCAGAAGATCCGCTTGGTGTAGATTTATATTGGCAAAGAGAAAAAGCATATGCAAACGACCCACAGCCCTCTGGGTAAAGTCCTTACATCTATCAGTATATTTTAAACTAGTTTTATTGCTGTATTATGTGCACAAGTATTCAGTCAATCCCCCTGGAGTAGATTTATATTGCATATTACATATTTACATATTGCATATGCGAAACAGCAAACGGCCAACTGGGCAAATTACTTACACCTATCAGTGTATTTTAAACTAGTTTATTGCTGTAATATGTGCAAAAGTATTCAGTCAATCCGCCTGGAGTACATTTACATTGCATATTACATATTTACATATTGCATATGCGAACCAGTGAACGGCCAACTGGGCAAATTACTTACATCTATCAGTATATTTTAAACTAGTTTTATTGCTGTATTATGTGCAAAAGTATTCAGTCAGTCCGTCTGGAGTACATTTATATTGCATATTACATATTTACATATTGCATATGCGAACCAGCAAACGGCCAACTGGGCAAATTACTTATATAGTGTGACATGCATGCATATCGCTAGATGGACATTAAAACTAAGTATTGCAATGAGCCTGTACCTGGGTTTTTATAATAAACAAAGATATTTCGTTAAAAAAAACGCAACTTTTTTGTATTTAATATAATTCTAACTCAAAAATGCATTATGATATTTTGATTGCCGGGTTTTCCGATTCTTTCAAAAGTGACATTTCATAACATACTTAGCGGCTGCTTTCATTGCTCTTAAAGCATGATCGAAACCGATGGAATGGATTATACGGCATGCGTGGATCGAATAGGCAAGTCCTCTGTCGCGATCCCAGATGCCTTTGCGCCATCCAACTCTTCCCAGTCTCCCGCTATTTTCGAAGGTCGTTTTGTTTGCGTCATCTTGGATAAACGTTATAGTGTCGTGATTCTGTAGGAATTTTTTTTTTGGAATACAAACATCACCATCTTTCCACTTCCGCCTCTCTTTCTTTTATTCCTTTTCCCACTTGCTTTCCCTTTCATTTTCTCCATTCCCTCTTGTCCTTCCTCCCATTTTTCCATTGTACGTTTAGGAGTTATTAGTACACAGGTGTTACCCATCAATGCAATCTTGTGTATTTTATCAGTATTCACATACGCATTAGCCTTCTCTGCAGCCGTTCTTAGGGTCGTCACGCAACGTTTCCCTCCCCACAAACGTTGCGTGACGACCCTAAGAACGGCTGCAAAGGAGGCTACATACGCATATAATTATAAGAGTTTTTCTGATCACTCTAAATAAGAGGAACCAGAGCCCTTATTTCTTACTGCGCATGCTCGACGAAATAATTGGGCTCTGGAAAACTCCAAACCGGAAGACCCAGATTCTGGGTTTCTCGCACATGGATGTTATGACAGACTAGGTAAATTCAAAATGGGGGACGATGTTTAACGAGCATGTGAATTTGCGCTTGAAAAATTAGGTTTTGAAGATGGTTTTCAGTTAAATTAACTTCGAAAATATCTATTGGATGGACATCAATACAATTTCCATTACAAAACCGGCAAAACTTTGAAAAATCCGGCCCTACAGGCTATTTTGGTGTACTTAATTCGAGACGCCATCTTGTTTATTTTCCCTAGTACTGTAATATTTACTTCCGGTATCTTCCTTTGTTCTCGAGAACCAATCACAGCACAGGAAATATTGGAGTTTTCCAGAGCCCAATTATTTCGTCGAGCATGCGCAGTAAGAAATAAGGGCTCTGGGTACGAGATTGAAGAGGAACACAATCGAAATCGAACTCTAAGCGAACCTTAATTTGCCGCGAACTATTTTGAGTTAAATCTATAATAAGCGAAGCATAGTGGGAAGGTAGAGACGGTTGAAGAATACAAAAGAGGTGCTGAATTCTCTCATAAGTGTTAGATCAAAGATTTATTAATTTCTGAATAGTGAATGATTTTTTAATATAGACCCATCCTAAACCCATGAAGTGCAAATTAAATAAGTTTATCTCGAGTACGACGTGGACAACGTCACTGAGAAGCCTTTAGATTTTACGGATTTTATTTAGATTACTATTTCATGTCATGCCGTGTTTTAAAAGTGCTGTCAATCATGGACTTCTATTTATTTTTTCGTCCGTCAGCTTTAAACAACGATTTAACAATGTTTAACTGAAAACTGAAACAATGTTTTAACTAGTATCTTCTCACTAACTAGCTACACCGCCAAAATTATTTTAATCAAATCAATACGTAAATAATTTGATATCCCGATATAGAATCACAATTTTAATAAATTGGTTCCGTTTCCAATAAAGTGACAATGAAAATCAAAAAGTTTTAGTTTGAAGACATTAGGTATATTATGCCCAACACCCTACATGCCCGTAGTATTTTATTTTGCTATTGATGATGATGTTGGAGTTCCTTGAATTAAGTGCTTTCCATGTAATCCCAATGAGAACCTGAAGCAAATGACAAAAAAGAACATTTTCAGGGATAAGCTGCTTTATAAAGGATACATGATTTTCATTATTAGGTTAAAAGAGGATTAAACAAAATAAATTTGGTGGTTGAATGATTTTTCCTTCCCTGAAATCTATCAAATAATTGGCCATTCATTCATTTTCCTTGCTAGATCACAAAAGGAACAATTGTAAATCAGTTCGTGATATGGCTACCCTGGTATCTTTGATGGAATGAAACTCCAAACAAAGACCGCAAAAAAAAAAAAAGCTAACATTGCTGTTTTTTTTCCCGAGAAAAATTATCTCGATGAAACATAATTTATATCTCTAAGGTATATCGTATACCTTAGATGAGGTAAATATCATTGGCCCAGTCACTGCCTTTGCCATCTTTACACGTTGTGGCCTTTCCTCGCTCGTTGTAAAGGGTTTCTATGTCAGGGCTGGACCAGCACTCTCCGCCATACTGAAGCCCAAAGCCCTTGTAGCCTTTGGCTCTAAGAACGAAAACAGCAATTACAATGAGAAGATTTATATTAAGTCATGAGTCATATAGAGTCATGAAGTCATATTTTTTCCGAGAAAAATTCGCTTGGAGAAACGTGAATAAAATCTTTAATATATATCTAAGCACAAAAAACTCCTCAATAGTCTCAACGTTGTTGAAGAAAGATTCGACAATCTTTTCATAACCATTACGGTTGCCTGCAACAAACTATTCTTTAGTTTATTGTACTAGGCAACTTGACTCAAAAAACTCCTCAATAGTCTCAACGTTGTTGAAGAAGGATCCGACAATCTTTTCATAACCATTACGACAGCCTGCAACAAACTATTTTTTGGTTCATTGTCGGCTAGGCAACTTGTATTGGAGCAAACATCTAGACAAGCTGCAGGGATATTGCTGAGTTGTAAGTGCCTCCACACGTTTGTTGTGCTTCTGCTATATTTTTTTGTTTTGCGCAGCCGCATTAGCTGGATGCCAGGTTGGTAAAATAAGCACTACGTCACAAGATTTTAATGATGGAAATAAGAGCATTGCTTCTCCGCTCGTAGGAAAATCGGCTGATAAAATTAATTGGGAAACCTTGATGATGTTATACTAGAAGATAACGAAAAATTAATTTTTATGGTATAATTACGTGACAGCCTCAAAGCACTTCAGATAGCTGTCCTCTCGCCACGTGCCAAGCAGCTCGAATCTTCGCCACGCTTCGTCTTTCCAACAGCCTAGTGTCGTGTACTGTGACGTAGAATTGACGTAATACACGTCATTAACCCAGCTGGCTCCGACACCGTTCACACATCCACTTCCTGGTCCATACTTCTTGTATACGGAAAGACCGTTCGGGCTGTTGATAACCATGAAATTCATTAAAACCAATTTCTATTTTCCTTGGAACAGCTAAAATATTTCTTGGAACACATCTTCTTTGCTTTAATCTCCGTTAACATGCTTTAAAGTATAAAGTATAACCCTGTCAAACCTCTTTTCTACTATCTTTTTAAAACTCCCTCCCCCTTTCAAGCCGTATACCCACTCAATTTGAAGGGTGCCCCTTGGTTCTGGTCATACGATGCATAGAGACCAAAAGAAAACAAAGAAAGATATTCCCCACTAAATTCATATTAAACTGAAAACATTTATTGTCGAGTTCAAGATTCTTCTTTGACTTCGATGCAGTTTTTACCAAAACTGCGGCCTCGTTCAGTTATTATTATTTTCACTTCCAAGTTACAATATTGAAAGAAATCTCGATTGGATTTTTGGTTGAGAGTAAACATACCTAGAATAGCACTCGCCATCGTATTGTATTCCAAACACTTTGAGGTTCTTGGCCTTAGCTGCAGCAAAGCAGTTTGCTAATGCCACACTTGGTAGTACTTTAGGCCAGATTCCAAGAACGTCGGGTAGAGCACGGAGGGGATCGTCATTGTAACAACCCTTGTGCAACAAGGCTAGTGTAAAAATATTGATAAGTAAAATGATCGTTATTGTTGTTTACTGGCGGCATTGTAATGCGAATTGACCTTACAATACATCCTGAGAAGAGAATATGAAGAGAATGATTTCCGCCTCACCTACTCTGTAGACATCGTTGTTCCATGATCCCCCAAGACCATTGTAACATCCCGTACCAACGCCATGTTTATCGTAGGTCGCCGCTGAGTTCGGTCCTGACCAGCACTCACCGCCATGCTGAATACCAAAATACCTCCAATTTTTTGCCAATACTAGCTTGAAGCACCTTTTGAAACAGAACAACAAGAAATGAGAAAATAGACTCCGAAACGAAAAGCAGTTCTGTGAAGATTTTTTTCTTCCTTTCTTTATGAAAGAATTTGTGGACCAAAGTCATAATCGTTTTTCAGCGTTATTTTTATTTATATATTTTTTTGTGAGCAGTTAGACACGGAAATACGCCACGAATTAATCAAAGGTTGTTCCCTTTGGGCTCCTTTACCTATTGATAGCATCCCTGCCGAAATAGCCAAGGTATTTCGGTAGAGCACGGTCACCCGTGTCCTTGAAACATCCTTCTCTTGGGTACAACTTCTTGTAAGGATCAAAATCAGTCACGAAGTAAACATCATTCGAGGAAGACGAACCCGTGCCATCCTTGCAGCCCGAACCAGCTCCATATTTATCGTATGTTTTGGGTGCGTCGATGCTGGTGTAGCAGTCCCCGCCGTTCTGGACGCCAAATGCCTGATAGCTCTTTTGTTTTACCTGCCAGTAGCACTGCATTACCGCATCTGGACCAGTGAAACGTCCCAGGAACTCCGTCATTGCTTTAGGTGTGCTATCCAAGTAGCATCCCTTGTGATAGTAATCTATAGTGTAGAGAGAAATGGAAGAGAGATTTGGGCAGACTTGCCAATTGAATACCAGACTATTCATTGGTAATAATGTATGTATATATACACCTTATTCACCGCTAAAATAGTTCCTAAGGAATGCTTTCATGGGTGAACAAATAAGCGAGGAGTGCGAAGGATTCAGTAGGGATATTGAATTGTTTGTGGGACAACAAGAATGGAGAGAGGTGTTGCATGTTAATTTATTAGGAGAAAAATCTATCGAAAAGCCCGCCTCCACTCTTTTAAACGGTACTTTGCCAAACATTTTGTAAAAATATTTTACTACTTTGGCGCATTCAACTTTCTTTCTTCTATCAATAAAAGAGTGCATAGCTTTCCTTGGATCCGCTATTGCACGGAAGAGCTGAGAAATACGTAATCAACTCTGACTTTTACGACGGTCTTTGACTGACTTAGTAAACCTTTTCGATAACAAAGGCGTTTGAACTAGGTGTATACCAATGAGTAATCTAGTGGTTCAACGGAAGTCTGCCCAAAATCAGGCCGTAAAGAAGAGAAGGAGCCATAATACCTTACTACTTTACTACTGCGACATAAAAATTGAATCGCACAAATACTAAGAAAGAATCAGGCATAAATTGGATGCATAAATACCTTTATTTGGTTGACTTTTTGTACATACATATTAACTAGGACCTACCTTTAATTGACGAATATTTTTTAAAATTTCCTTGTCATGTTAATATAATTTTTGATCGTGAATAGCTGAGTGTTTGAACATTTTTAATTATTCGTCCTGTTTATTTATCTATTTCTCGGTTGACGTGCGCTGTGCTGTTGAAGAATACTTTGACAAATATATCTCACCGACTGTCCCATTATAATAGTGATCGCTTGTAGATGATTTGCAGTTCAAAGATCTTTTGAGGTGACTCCATCACTCTTGTTCAGTCAGTACCTCACCTTTACTTAGCCACTGATGTTGCATAGTCATATCATACATAAACTTTTTATGCAGCTACTTTTAAAAAAACGTGAAATAATGAATACTGCATACACTAAATAGTGTATTCCAAGACCGAAATGCATGTTTTGGTCTTCTGTAATATTGCCTAAGGTAAAATAAATAAAAATCGTTTACCGTGTCTTTAGTGCATTTCATCCGATACGATATACTATAGTTATATATAGGGAGCACATCATTTCAAATTAACGAGACTCGCACTAAACTCCCTTTAGTCTTGAAATACGCTGTTCATTTTGCAGTATTTTTGAAATATTGGTAGGCTAAATGTAAATATATAGTACTTAGCAATAATTTTGCATATAGTTTGAGTCCTATAAATAGCAACCAGTAATAGATTCATGTTGYAACCAGTAAGTTGCCAAAACTGTTCACAATCTCAGTTCGTCCTTTAGATGCCTACTATATGGTAAATATTTGGAGAGAACCCTTTACCTTCTTTTAACTTACGCTCTTTTCAAAAGTTTTCGGAGAGCATTTCAGCTGTTATTATAGCCCTTTTATTAGCCTGGCCTCAAATCTTTTATCAAAACGTTTACCTGAATTACATGCAGCTTACGTTTTCGCTCCAATTTGTGAGAGTATAAACTGAAACTGCAGTTCATCATCAATAAGTGGTTAGCTTTATTCATAGGTACATAAAATTATGCTTCTCATGTTCCACGCTTAGTACTTCATTCTTGATAAAGCAAATTTCTCATGACAACGAAACACCTTTACGAAAAAGTACCTTGAGCATATCCATAATGAAGGGCAGCGTTCCTATTGGATAAGCACTAATTTTATACTCATCGTTCACCGTGACTGTGCAGCGTGACGTTCTTGTTCTGATAGCCATATCATATCTATCGTGTCTTTCAATTATCATTTGCGATACTTACCTTCTCGAAATGGTTGTATATACAAAAAAATAAGTTTGAAAACTCTGTCGATGATGTTTGAGCTGTCGGAAGTTCGATCCTCAGCGCGCGTCTTGATATATGCGAGTAAATATAACTTAATAGGTATCCCTTCATGCCTGTTTTAAGGAGTTTGTTTGGTTTGCATGGTCGATGGTGGGCTACCTACTATAAGCAAGAGGTCCGTGTAGTTCCAGCCTCAGTAATTTCTCAAGTTTGTTCAGTACTAGAGCGCGGCAACGTCATAGCCAGGTGCCCCATTCCGTACTGCCCCAAAAGTAAGCGATAAGTCTAGTCATTAGATCACAGCATTTTTATACCTTCTCAGAAATCCCTCCAACTTATCTATGGTCTTTAAACTGGAATACGTATAAAGCGAAGGAAGTCCTTTCCTTGGAATTCTTATCGGAACTTACCATTTACTAGCAAGACGAAATACGTTTACGCCCACTTTTTTTCTTCCTCTGCTACTGAATACTTATGATTTGCAACTAAAACTGGTAAATAGATAGACTTCACTGAAACAGGAAAAACCATCACCAAACGAGTAGAGGATTCAAAAGGATTGTCTAAAGTGCGGTGCGACTTACAATATACGTCTAGATGCATGGTTGAGTCATCTCGATGTCCTTACCTCTTTTCCTGTGACAAGTTTCAATAAACTTCCTAGTTTCCTTGCAATCGGGAACATCAGTCGTAAACTACTTTTGTTGGAAACTTACCTTTCTATAAGATCGACAAAGAGTAGAGTGTTTTTGCAGTGAGTTGTTTTGGGCGGGAGTATGGATAAATACGAATATGGTAAAAAAATATGTTGCCAAGCTCTAATTCCTTTGATCCCAAATTAATTGTTAGCGTGAGTAAGACATAACTGAAATGTTTTACTCACTAATCGAATAGACATCGTTAGCCCATCCTCCACCAAGACCATCTTTACAGTTCCCAGCCTCGCCATACTTGCTGTAAGTGAGTTCAATATCCTTTCCGCTCCAACATTCAYCGCCATGTTGAAGGCCAAACATGTTGTAGCCATTCCGAATGGCGTCCTTGTAACACATTTCGATAGAGTCGTTCCGATCTCGTCTGGTTCCTTGGTGGGAGCCCATTGCCCTTATTCGGTCGTCTTTGTAGCAGCCATGAGACTTGTACAGTGGAGAGTAGTTGTGAAGGAAGTAAATGTCATTGGCCCACGGACCACCTTGAAAGAATGATAACAATACGAAATGAATAATCTTTTTTTTTGATTTTAAGTAGGTTTCAAATACAGCGTTGGTTTAAATTTGGCCCATTTTCATTCGCACGCACTACCAATAGTTTCTCAACTCAATTCAAATTTTGATTTTTTTGGAGGGAGAAAACCGGAGAACCTGGAGAAAACTCACGTAGCATAGGAAAGAACGACACATCAAACAAACTCAATTCACATATGATGTCTGCAGGCTCGAACCATTGACCCGAACCTTTGGAACCACAGTGGTGAAAGACGACGATAATGGATCCCGCCTACAAAAGCTTTATCGAGCTAAAAATATGTCTGCATTAGTTCTTAGGGCACTTCCCATCTTAAGTTAATATGACTACTACTATTACCTTTGCCATTGCTGCATTTGTCGGAAGGTCCGTACATGTTGAATTTTATATCTGCTGCCTCGCTGGACCAGCACTCTCCGCCGTTCTGTAGACCAAAGGCCTGATAACCAAGAGATACGACCTTCTCGTAACATTTCTGGGCGGCGTCTGCTCCAGAAAATGTCCCATGATATTGTCTCATGGCACGATATGTGTTGTCATTGAAGCAGCCAACATGGTAGTAAGCTAGAAATAGAATTGGCCAGAAACTAGTACCAGCTAGTAAGCTACAAATAGATTTGGCCAGAAACTAGAAACTAGTAGTATAGCAGTAAATCCGTGACTATAGCCTACCTATGCTATAACCTAACGTAAACTAACCAGACTAACTAACCCTGCCATACCCTACTCCAGCCCTTCCCTATCCTACCTTTCTTACCCTACCTTGCCCTATCTACCCTTTCCTACCCTAACTAACCTTACCTCACCCTACCCTAACTTTCTCTTCCTACCCTACCAACTAACCCTGCCATACCCTACTCCGGCCCTTCCCTATCCTACCTTCCTTACCCTACCCTGCCCTACCTACCCCTTCCTACCCTAGCTAACCTTACCTCACCCTACCCTAACCTTCTCTATTTACCGTACCCGCCCTACCCTACCCTACCCTA